AACTATAATCCGACTAAATGCCATTGAAATAATATCTCTTAAAATGTGGATTTATTAAAATGTACTACGTACTAGAAGAGACACCGTGAACAAAATCTGTGCAATAGTACGGGTTGCATGGAAAAAGACTCAGAGTACCTGTTTATGACACATGCTAAATAAGTTTGAGCCCATGGGCACTAACGCGTGTTCTAAACGACCAAGACTCTGCGTCTCTTCTAGTACATAGTACATACAATTTCAATGCTCAATACTTTATTAACTTTATTTTTCAGTTATATAAATAATTTATGAGCGGTATATGGTCAGTTAAAGATTGGCCTCATACAATTAAGTAACATTTAAGCCAAATTGGAAAATAGTATACTACAACTTATTTTTCACAAAAACTTTCTCGTGGCGTTGTTTCAGTTTTCATTCCTCTTATGCGACAGCTTGCATTTGGGATTAGTTTGTTGTGTTTTCATTTACGTTGGCTTTACAGTTAGTGTAATTGAATATTTATTCAGAAAAAAATAATATTTGCTAAATTTTATTTATTTCGAAAATACAAAAATTTTAATAATCATGATCCCATTATGAAAAAGATGTAAATTGAACTAAAACTCATCTTAAGTCGTATTCCTTGGGAAACACTATTGAGGTCGTTGAGTATATTACCAATCTCCTACCGCGATTTTGCCGTAATGACTCTACCGTAGCATCGGCAAATCGAAGATGAGTGATATACTCGCCATTACTGTTGATACCGTAGCTCAACGGATCAGCAGGCTGAAGTGGCAATAGGTTAGTCATTGAGCTTGAAGAACCGACAAACTATAGGGAAAAAAGGTTCTAGAGTGGCAGCCTTGTACAGGTAAGCAAAGTGCTCCATAGTAGATGGAGTGAGGACCTAGTGAGAGATTCAGGAAGTCAATGGATGGATTTCTTAAAGAAAGCCAATGTTCAGAAGTGGACTTTGTTTCTTTTATTGTTTTTAAACCCAATCAATCGTACCAAATTGGCGGTGCGATGATTTCGTTAGCAAGAGATTTTCGTCAAACATAGCCAGTGTTTCCACGGTCAATACCAGCTGATGAACTTAATGCATATTTAAAGTCTAGCTTGAGAAAACACGTCAAGATACTAAATAAAATCAAGAATATGCGTGTCGAGTTGTAAAATGATTTATCTAGAGAAATATTTTCAAAACAACTTATTGTTATAGGTAAGATGCGTTAGCTTTCCCGACAACTTTATCAGTTTCTTGAATCAAAAACCGAACTCACTCAAAAGATGTTCCCAAACGTAGCTAAAATTACAGAGATATAAGGATCATACAGTTGATTTCGCTACTAACCAAGATGATTTCGTCATTTATCCACCCGAATTTCGAACTCACTGGATTTTCCAGTATTGCTGCTTACAAGGTATCTTCTTTTTAAAAATAAAATTCTTTAGCTCTATTAAACTGCCAGTAAGCGGCTGTTTCGATTCCCAATGTCTTTCAATCTTGTAAACGTAACACAATTGACTTGAAAGCAGAAGAGGGATCATTACACGTACGTAATTTGTAACTTCGCGCATCAAAATTACACGCATGTCCACACACAAATCCGGATTTAATTGAATAGCTTTTACCGATTTAGTCTAAGGAGTAACTGCTTAAAAGAAATAACCTGCATGTCTTTATGGTCTTTTGGCATGTAATTAAATTATAGAAAAAACTCTTTAAATTTCGTTTACACACACTAGCACACACTTACATATATTATTATTACACATTAAATTTAACTAATTATTACGGATTTTATCGCGTTTAATTTAACTTTTTAATTCCCGACGTTTCGGGTGCATTGCAGCATCCATGGTCACGGGAGGGGGGGGGGGGACTGAGGTGTTTGACGTCCCGATGTCATAGTTAGCCCGGCTACATTCAGTTTTTGAATATTAATTACAGTATCAGTAATTTGGTAGAGCCATGCTGCAGCTATATTAGTAGTATAGTTGTAGCACGAATGGGTCGGCTCAACCGGGGAAGGACCACGCTCTCACAGAATACCAACGTCAAATAGCAGCTTGACGCTGCTGTGTTTCGTATGGTGAGTGTAGAAAACCGGAGACCCTTTTTACTGGAAAAGAGGCATTCTATCTTAGTACTCACGGGTGACAACGCATCTGCATTTTGATTCGCAAACGAGGATAAATGTAGATGTCTATGGGCTACAGCAACCACTTACCATCAGGTGGACTGTGTACTCGTTTGTCACACTATCATATAAAAAAAATCTTGAAGTCGTGCAGTGGATGCTTGGGTTTAGATTTAATTTTATTGGATCCCGAGCAGATGGCAGCACCCATCCATCTTCTCTATTTAAATAAGGATATTTATTCATTTCAATAGCCTCGAGAGTCATCCTTGGTAGGAATCGGTGTTCTTTTGCAAGGATTTGTGGTCTATCAAATCTAATGTAATGGCGGGGACGATCGTGAGCATGTTCACTGACTGTGGACTTCCCGGAACGTCAGTGCTTCAATTCAGCTATATGTTCTTTCACGCGGGTTTTTATAGATCTTTTTGTTTGTTATATGTAAGAGGCGGCTTAAAGTATGTTTTAATGGAAGCTCGCTTCAAGATGTAGCGAACCTTGTTTGTGACTCCTTTGACATAGGATAGTACAGCAGGCACACGATCGACTGTGATCGCCTTCACTCGGCCATTTAGATTTCACGATGCAAACGAAATCGGCTTTTCTTGCCTGTCGGAACCTACTTGCGACAGTGTCGCACCCAAGCCAACCGGAGACGCATCTACAGTCAGGATTAACCTTGATTCGGGGTTGAAGTTGACGAGTACCAGGTCTGATGCTAATAGCAGTTTTATTTTTGAATGCCTCTTGATGATCTAGACCCCACGACCATTTTACCCCCTTTTTTAGCAGATTATAAAGTGGGCTTAAAACAGACGCTGCACTTGGTACAAAGCTTCTATTATAATTTACTAGGCCCAAAAACGATTGCAGTTGGCTTATATTTGCTGGTGCAGGGGAGTCTACTATTCCTTTAATTTTACCTGGAGACTTTTTCAACCCATTTTTATTGATAACATAACCCAAGTAGCTAACTTCATCTTTATAGAACTCGCACTTCTCCCTTTGCAAGGTCAATCCTGCTTCTTGTAATGTCTGCAACACCGCCCGAATGCGTGCAGCATGCTCGGCGTCGTTACGCCCCGTAATGAGCACGTCCTCCCACAAACACAGCACGCCTTCCTGTCCACCTACTAGGCCCTCCATCGCGCGCTGCAAAATTGCTGGCGCTGGAGCATGCCCAAAGACTAGCCTAGTATACTTGTATAATCCACGATGAGTATTAATTACAGTGTACCTTTGTGACTCGTCATCCAGCTCAAATTGGTTATAAATCATAGATAAGTCTAATTTGGCGAATTTTCCACCATAAAGCTTTGCAAACAACTCCTTGGCAGTTGGCAGAGGATACTGGTGGATATTTAATTGCCTATTAATACTAACCGAGTAATCGGCACACAAGCGAATAGTGCCATTTCTTTTTAAAACAGGGACTATAGGGGACGCGTCGTCTGTTAGTTGTTAGTCTTTTAATACCTGATTAGGCCAAAAAAGGTAATTTGTACGATATCCATTCACGTTCGACTTCGTGAGTCGCACGATGGCACCAGGTGTCACGCGCATCGAGGGGAGGGGGAGCGGTAGGCAGCTTCCCAACGTGTGACGCTCGTGGGCGAGAGGGAGTAGCTCGCTGGCCGCGATGCGGGGAACCCGCGTATTTCGATTATCGCGGCCGAAGTTCACGCGACCGTGTAGGGTCCAGATAGTTAGATTTAGGCGTGTTAATTCGCTACGTGAATATGTGAATTTTGCAATATTTAACTTGTTCGGGTGATGCGGAATTGTGCACGCGCGCGTCGAGTAGATATGCGGTCTAGGATTCGAACCGCGCATTCCTTGGTCGAGAGCGTCTCCCGGTTGATTGTTTGGAAATCATTATAATTGTGCCGTCGCGTTAAGTGCCCTTTTTTTGTGTGTTGGTTGGTTTGTTAGTTTACGTGTCAACGAGGCGTATTTTGAATTTTTTTCGCGACGTGGTGTTTTGGTGTCGAATGAAGGAACTTAATTGTGTTTAACGCTGAACCGTATGACTCATTAAGAGATCGCGTTAGTTCCCTATTTATAATTTTGTGATAAGTGAATCTGGAACATTGAATGTCGAATTTTGATCTACTGTCCTTACTGTGTCGGGTATCACGTGTTCGATTCTACGATGAATGTGAAATTAGGCGAGTTTAAGTTAGTTAAATGTACAATGAAGGTAATAGACTGAAATAGTGACAATGAAGAAAGAAATGGTCCAGCGGTGGAGCCTGCTGGAGCGATGCAGCATTGTGGGGCAGCCTGGAACTCGGCCGCTGCTGGTCGCCTAAGCTGGTCCAGGTCTCAGACATTTACCCATCACTAAACACTACTTGCCATGCACCTCACACCTACTTACGGCCTACGGATCTAAGAGTCGAAAACAGGTACGTACTAAATTTTCCTAGCCTTCTCCCATATAGCTTAGTATTATAGGAAATTCTTCCATATGGCCTTTGGGCCCGACCCGTGTCTGCCCGTCCAGCAGGCTGCTATGGGCCCCAGCCTGGGCTACCTCTGCAGGGCATTCACTGTTTATCTTATTCCGTAGGGCAAATGCAATCGGTCTCGCTTTAAAGAGAACTGGTTTTGCATTATCTTTTAACTTTAAGTGCACCATATGTTTATTTATTTATTTATTTATTATATGGACAACAAAACAGATAACAATCTAAATACATTACAATATAATATAAATATAACAGTTTTATGCCAGATTGTTATCCTAAATATGTTGACACATCATTTTTATATGAAATACAGGAGATCAACTCTACGCTTTGCAATGTTTATGACATACATAATTATAGTAAACAAAAAATAAAAATATACAAATAAGAAACTTAAAACCTATGTGATATGGGAATGAGTGTGCATAAGTGTATACTGTTTCACTGCTCTTTTAAATGTCCTGGATCTTGGGTCAAAAACATCCATGCCGGAGCTTTTCATGGATATCTCGTTGTAAAGTCGACACATTCTTACTATCGGGTTATAAAAGGAAGTATTATTCTTATAAGTCTGCAGGTAAAATGTCTTGTTAGGAATTCGGGGATTGCGCTTTATAGTTAAGTTTAATTTACTTAAGAGGTAATCGGAATCAACCTTATTATGGAGAATTTTATGTAAATATATAAGGTCATATTCCTTACGGCGAATAAGTAAGGTGGTCACTTTAAATTTGTCGAGTAATTCACTATAACTAACTAGATTACGAGCAAACTCACATTTGTAGCTAAGTATTCTGAGAGTTCTTTTTTGGACATTTTCTATACTATCTGAATGGACCGTGTAGCAGGGAGACCAAATGACACAAGCATATTCAAGAATGCTACGAACAAGACTACAATAAACGGTCAGGAAGCTTTGAGGTCGTTTGAAGCCCTTAGTGCATCTCGTTATGAAACCTAGTAACTGGAATGCTTTGTTTTTAATGTACGCATAGTGCTCACGGAATGTTAATTTAGAGTCAAATAGCACACCTAGGTCTTTAACTACCGTTTTCCTGTCTAATGAATCTTCGTTAATTTTATAGTCATAAGTCTGTTTATATCTCTTATTAGTGAACGTTATAACAAAACATTTTTTAACATTGAGGTGCATACCGTTAAGCCGGCACCATTCATATATTGAATCTATATCATCTTGTAGTTTACCGCAGTCAGAAAAGTCCTATATCACGCGGTATATTTTCAAGTCGTCTGCATATAGAAGGCAAGGACTGGACAGTTTGTAAATCAAATCGTTTATAAAAATTATAAAAAATAACGGACCGAGATGTGAACCCTGAGGAACACCAGATTTAACTGTGACAGGTGATGACATGAAACCTTTGAGAGCGGCAAGTTGGCTTCTGTTATCGAGGTACGAATGAACCCAGCGTAGTAGATTTCCATGAATTCCTGACATAGCTAATTTCTTACAGAGTAAAGAATGATTTACTTTGTCGAAAGCTTTCGTAAAATCGGTGTACACGGCATCAACCTGCCCACCCACGGCGAAAACTTCACATAAGTAATTTTTGTACTCTAATAAGTTAGTCACTGTTGATCTGCCTCTCACAAAACCGTGCTGCTTGTTGGATATAAGCGGCTTAATTTGAGAATAAAAATGAAACGAAAACGTAAAACGACCTAATTTATCAGAAAAAAGAACTTGAAATTAACATTGCAGTTTTTCCACGGAGGAAAGGGTACCCTTACAGTAAATCACCGTTGATAAAACTGATGATAACAGACGACGTACACCTTGAGCGTGTGTGAGCGGTTAGTATAGTACACGGGCAACCGAATTGTGCCTACACATCATGTTATGCTATCACCCGTGTAGCTCATCAACTTTTTATGAGGAACAATTAATGGAATATACTTTATAATGAAATTTATATAATTTTTCCGGTATCACAGTTACGGCTATCTTTTTCAAACTTAAACGCCGTTCCACGAATAAACACGGTCTCGACCATCGTTTCACCCCGCAACGAACGAATTTTAAATACCTTACCATCCTCACCGATGTCTTCGTCTCCGGCTCCATTATCTACGTAGTTAACTTTATTTGACGTACACATTCTACCTAGATGGCCTACGACGTTACATTTACTAGATACGAAATCCGCGTACCGGCACTCCGAATCCTTGTGGTTCGTATAGCCACACACTTTACACTTTTGTTTTACCGAAAGATCACTTTTTACACTTCTTGCCCCTTATCTATTGGTCTAATCTTGTACAACGCGCCAGTAGAAGCTGTGGTAGCATCGGCTGTACTGGCATTGGCGATTGCATCTGATTTCGCACAACGGACGTTTTCAGCAAATTATGGAGCTTTCGTGAGAGTTAGATTTGTAATATCTTGGGCGTAAAGATTCTCTTTCTCAAGACTAGGCATCATTCCCATAATGAACAGGTCTCGTAGGGCCTCTTTTATATTATGGAAAGCGCAGCGTGACGTAAGACCGCGCAGTCTCGCGGCCCACTGTGAATGTGTTTCACCGGGTTGCTGCGATGCTGCATAGAAGTTGTGTCATTCCGTGAAACTGACAATCTTTGGGTTAAAATTGATATCGAGGATTCGTAGGATGTCATTGTAGGGCACCTCCTGCACGTCCTTGGGTAAGGCTCAATTCTTAGCGAGCCTATAGGCACCCTCCGAGAGTGCACTTAGCAAAATTGCTCTTCTCTTTTTCCCGCTCGGATCCGTTGTATTATTAATTTTATTTGCCAAGAACCACTGATTTGTTCAGCTTTTATATGTTTTCCACTCCTGTATATCGTGGTTAAAACTGTATAATATTACAAAATGTGAATTAGCCATTTGTAATTACTTTTTACGCGGGTACTCGTCGTCTATGTTATGTATACGGTCAGGGAGCAAGTTAAACGGCCGGTAGCTTGCTATGCACTGGTTTTTTAACAGAGGGCGCGTGGGCACAGCCACGCATTGTAATACGTAGGTATACAAATGTATATACATACATAACATAAACATTCTCCGACAAAAAATCTTCATAACACTATTTAAAATTTGGAACTTACAAAGTCAACCTTCTTCATTGTTTTATTAAATAATCTAAAAGACTATGTATGTAACAGTCACTAAATACTTTAAAGGTTTCTTTCTTTTAATAGAAGAGGAAGCAAACAAACATGCGGCTCCCCTGATGGTAAGAGTCGACCGCCGCACTTGAACATCTGTATCACCAGGGGAATGTAACGGCAGGTGCGTTGCCGGCCTTTTAAAGTGCATGTTAACCTTTATTTATTTTATAATAATAATAATAAACTTTATTTCAGAAAAAGGTCCATAAATTGGTAAAATCCAAAAAATGTAATGTTACTAACATTACATTTTTTTTAAATATTTACTGTTAGTAAAAATTGCTTCAAATCTAAAATAAAAAAATATCATATAATTAAAAAAACAATATCAAAAATTACTTAAATTACTTATTTAAACGATACATTTTATATTATTTACTACGATTTAAAATTTTACCGCTTATGCATGTGCAGGCGAATCCAGTGTTTTAAAAGCGGAGCGTCCCAACTATCGGCCAAAGTGCCGAAAAAGAAGGGAGGCGTATCTCTTTATTCCCAATAAATTACTCTAGGTACGAGAGGCGTAATATAAACGTTACATTATCAACCGAATATAATCTTACATTAGATTCGGCTAAATATGGATATAAGAGCAACAGGAGTGGACTTTGATAATAATTAATGAATGAATAAGCGAACATGATGAACCAAAGTACCTTTACCAAACATTTTAAAGTAAAAATAAATGTATTACGTGGTAGAGCCACGTAATACATTTATATATATATATATATATATAAACTGTTTTTCGGCATCCTATCTTAGACCTCACGGCTGACAACACATATGCATTTTGATTTGCAAACGAGGATAGATGTAGATGTCTATAGGCCACAGCATCCACATATCATCAGGTGGACTGTGTGCTCACTTGTCATCATCAAATATTAAATATAATACATAAAAATGGACTAAAACGAATTAGTTCTAGGTTATCATATATTTTTCATACAACTTGTGAATACAATGGTACGAAGTATCGCAGCTGCAAATGGGAAAATAATAAATATCTTGACCAGACAACGACGAACGGCACGAGAGCTGCAGCTCCAAACGGATTTGAGCAAGCACTGCTTGTGGACGTAAGAGTTTAAATTGATCGCTGCAACGTTTTTCTGTCATATTTCTACACGAATATTTTGAAATTTTTAAATATTTGAATTTTCCTCTTTTCTTTTCAAGCAGTTCTATAAATAGGGTTAACGTTGATACAATTACCAACCAACAAAGGCTGTGTCAACCACTCGTTATCATAGCAACAAATAGTAAAATTAAAAAAAATTGTACAACCGACTTTAATATAAATAAAATGAGAACATCATCAATGTTGTCGAATTCAATTAAATACGCATTATTAAGGATGACTCCAAAACTACTGGTCAAATCTTCATCAAATTTATATTGGCCCCATATAAATTTGATCAAGATTTGACCAGTAGTTTTGGAATTTTATATGGGGCCACAGAAATGCTCTAGCTTTCAAATATAAGAATAATAATTAAAAATAGGTTCACCGTTATATCGTAAAACACATAAAAATACAGTTAGTTGAAGTGAGAACCTCCTCCTTTTTGAAATCGGTTGAAAATAATTTGATGGTCAAGAATTATTGAATTGATATTAACACCTCGATAATTTTCAAGTCTCCCACAGGTTGTTTTTTATAATTTTCAACAAAGTACATCGTGCTCGGACCGATATTGAATATTAACGCGTTTACAAGGTTCCTGATAAATATTAATATCGAATCTGTAACTATTTTCCTTACTTTAACGACGTGAAAAACGTACATTACCTGAACAAGTGACGACCAGCAACGTCAAAGGTGCAAGGCATCTGGTACTGTGATCAAATTCTAGCAAATTATACATAATAAACTACGTAATTATACGTAATACGCTACTTAATAATACGTAATAAGCTACGTAATTATACATAATAAGCTACGCAATTATGCGTAAAACGATATGTAATAGCTTGCAATACGATAGGTAAATTTAATGTTCCGCAGTCACTGTTACCGACTGATGAAAAAAAAAACAACATGAACTTATTTTTCGTATTTTAATTTTAAAACAAATTACTCGTCATGTTTATCACCGTGTAGTGGCAGGGCAAAGAAGTATATGCGACGCTGCCCCAATGCATGTTGGCGAACTTTACATGTCTTCGAGATACTTTTTTTCTTATTTCTCAGACATGCAAGTTAACTCACGATGTTTTCCTTCACCGTCAAGTACGTGGTAAATCAGCACTTAAAATTGCAATTGATAATTTCATTGGGGCCGAACCCGGGTTGCTTGTTTACTGTGAAATTTACAGCAAGCGAGCCGTGGTAGCTTAGATGGTGAGCGCTCCCCTTGTTGTATGTTTGCTCCCATAGCGATATTACTATACTAAAACTTTTAATTTCCAGGCAGACCGCCCGGAGGTGTCATTCCATATTTTCCAATTTAGCCTCAAGTGATTGAATGTAGATATGGTTCTTATTTCTTTCATACTACAGTTTTTCTATTTTGAAAATTACTTCATCATACTTTTCAGACATAAGGTCCTAAGACTTGCGTATATCGGTATTTTGTTTCCTAATTTCATTTATAACGGAATGAAGAGTGGTAAATTTTGAGTTGAATAAGGCCAAAAGCCCAGATTTAAAAGATTTGAGTTCCTCACTACAATCCCCATGTTCCCATTTTGGCTTATTTCTACTAGCGAGCATTTTCAGTCGAACCTTGATATTTGCAAATCCCTTGAAAGAGTATGCTTTAGCGGAATGTTTTTAAAAAAGGCGGTAGATGTGATATTAATTTCCTTTGTTTAATTACGACAGTTGCAATATTCGTCCGCGTGTGATACGTATACCAGATAAGTGAGTCACTGTATGTCACTCTTAAGGTAGAGCACGGTATTTTGCACGGCGCACTTAGTGTTTGAAGCTCTTACATATCTTGCACT